CGTCTCTCTCTCTCTCTCTCTCAGTATTGTTATGCAAAAGAAAAACCATTCCAGCATTTTTTACTTTATACACCTCCCAAAAAATCAAATTGATTTTTTCCTTAGACTTGAGCACATCGTATCTCCAATTCCATTCAACCTACATATACATCACCAACAATATATGTGAAATTTAATAATTGATTAAATTTTATATTTACTCGATTTTCGGTTGAAATAAACCCAGTAAAAACATTCATGCAATTAACAACTTAAAACTGGTTCTTCGATCTTAATTGATTCTTGGTGTTGCCTGCGAATCGAATCCAATGACAAGAGACATTTGAGAAGATACGATATAGAAGGAAGTATATGGCAGTGACTGCTTTCTTAGAATTTTATGATGTCACACAATAGAAAAGCTGTACTATCATTAGATGCTTATTCTTTGTGTAATGTAATTTTTTTTCTCTGCATTTATACGTTTACGTAGGAGTGATTTCGAAAAACATCCAGTTTTCAATGTGAACTTTCATCAAGGATTTTTAGCCGCCAGAAAATTATGTAGATTTTAACCAGAAATAGGAGTATATCTTAACCATACATGTTCAATTTTATTGCTACTTCAACAATGTTAAAGATGAAGATCATGGATTGTGATCAACCTCATAAATACAGTAGAAACGAATTGTTAACAGGGCACAAAAACGGACCCCTTAAAACATGAGAGGTGGGATCAGGTACATGTACCTAGGAGTAGTAAGCATCAAATGCCCCGTGAGCCCAATGTATTGATTAGGTAGACAGAGAACTCCGTAGTCAGATATAGTATATTGATTGAATGAATGAATTTGTATGTTGTTTTACGTCCCATTCGAGAATTTTTCACTCTACAGACGAAGAGCTTCAAATTTAGACCTATACTCGGTACTCAGGGTCATTGGGCAGTAAGTGTTCTTTATCGCGGTAACGCCTACCATGACACGAGACCTCTATTTTTAAGGTCTCATCCTGTCATTTTCCTCTATAGTCAGCCGTCACGGTAGCTCAGTCGGTAGAGCGCGCTCGCTCGGTGATCGGAAGGTCGTGTGTTCGAATCACGGCCGCGACTGATCTAAGTCGATAAAAAGAATAGACCCTTTTGCCAATTAAGCGCTCGATACTTTGAAGTGAAAGTTGCGGGTTCTTAAAAACCGAGTTCCCGTGTTACTGTAGGCGTTGGCACGATCAAGAACCCTCACTGCTCAATGGCCCTGAGTGCCGAGTAAAGGTGTATATTTGAAGCCCTTCACCGGTATATGGTGACGTCTCTATATGAGTGAAAAATTCTCGAACGGGACGTAAAACAACATACAATCAATCAATCTTCTATAGTCTGTAAAACATCCAAATATGAAATTAATGTGACAGACTCTGTGGTGTTTGTCATTTCAAGTTCACTGGGATATATCGAGTCGACATGTAAATGAAAGTAACTACAAATATTGTTAATTGATAAAACTGCCGTCGATATATCTAAATATTGATCATGAGTTGGGGGCCATAGCAAGAGTTTTCTTCTTCTCTTGTAGAAGTTATTGAATAAATTCTCTTCTTATGTACATGTATATAAAAACAGGTCTGCTTATAAAGGAGTACAGTCACTGCCATCAAAATTCCAACACATTATTTGAAGTCCTGATCTCCAAAGATGCGTAGATATTGTCAATGAGAAACTCCAGTATTTTTAATATCAAGTACAGAGTACTTGTATGAATCAGACTTTTGAACAGGGTAATTTTGCAGATAAACAATAAAGTCGCCCGCGTGGCGCATTGGTTAGAGCGTCTGCTCTAGAGTCGCGGAGTGAGGAGTTGATCCTTACGTCGCGGGTTCGAATCCCACTGTGGGACGTGGAGACCGGTCCTTCGGATGAGACCGTATAAACCGAGGTCCTGTGTCGCAGTAGGTGCTGGCACGAAAAAGATCCCTCACTGCTCAATGGCCGTAAGTGCCGGGTATAGGACAAAATTTGCAGCTCTCCACCGGCAAGTGGTGGTGTCTCCATATGAGTGAAAAATTCTCGAGAGGGACGTTAAATAACATACAAACAAACAAACAGATAAACAATAAAAAGATATAAAAAATTTACGAGTTCGATTTTTATTGAGGAAGCAGTTGTCTATGATGTCAAATAGCCTGCTCTTTAATTTTAATAAGGAATGATTGTATAAGGCGTAGAAAGTCATATTTTTAATGTTATTCTCGATTGAAAAGTTTTGAAATTTTAAATTTTCCAAAATTTCTTTAGATTTTTTTTTACAATACACATATGATTTACACAACGAGCATTCTGAAAGTGTTGCATTTTAGAAATACCGAGTACCCTACCTGTATGACCCTTAACTCCGTCATCAAAGGGAAATGCGAATTTGATCGTAGCTTATTAAGAAAGACTCATATTCTCAAAATCAGCAAAATGTATGCAGGCGTCTAGAAAACAAATGGGATAGACTAGACGGACAAACGAATGAAATTTAATGCCCCCTCGCTTTTGTGAAAGCGGGGTGAGGGGAGGGGGAGGGACAACTTATGTTAATTATTAAATACTTTCTCCAAAAAAAATTTATTGCCATATTTGAAGCAGGCATAAATGTTGGCTACGAAATTTTTGTCAGTTCATAATTATTCCACTTTCGTTTTCGATTATTTTATTGATTAAAATAGTTACAAAAAAAATTACGGGATGTCTTTGTTAATTGTCTGTTTTTCAAATCGGATAATCTACGGTATTTATAGTTCTACTGGATTCAAGTTTGTTAAGAATCATTATTTCCTAATTTACATACATTAACCTAAATTATCAATGCGTGTTCGTGTAACTAAACATTATTTTTCAAAGAAATCTCAAAACTATGCCACAAAAGCAATTCAAAACCTATATTAATGCACTGACTGTATAATGTTCCCTTCCACTTTCTCAGGGGAGATATTCTTTTGGCTTCTTTCTCAATCTCTTGAGTGTATCGCTCAAAGGCAGATTCACTTTTTTCAATAAATCAAAAAGAAATAAGAACATAAAAAAACAACTCCTCTCTTTTTAATCCTTGTTCGTAATATTGCATGTACTCCTGGGATATTTTCCCTTGAACCTCACAGAACCTCCATACCCAGAGCTCTATCAATTGTAAAACAAATGAGCTATTTACTTAAGGCTACACAAAGAACTATTTACTTTAAGGTTATTACCTGAAAACATTTAATGGTTGAGAATAGTACACGCTTTAACCTCATTTTAGTCCGTTGACAATCATTAATATAACATATTAAGTCTTCAGTTAAGTAGTCCCCTACCGATAAAACCAGAGGGATTATAGTTTTCCTCTCCGTATGTCTGTTTGTTTAGCTGCGTGTCTTTCTGTCTGTCTTTCTGTCAGTCTGTCACAAAACTTTAACCTTGGTGATAACTTTTGAATAAGAAAAGATACACGTAAGGCCTAATAACATTACCTGTGACAAGACCTTTTCAAATATACCATGATATTCGACCCTGTACCCTTAATCTTGAAGTTTAGTGTACTTTTAAAAATTTTAACATTGATCATAATTTTTGAATGTGAAAAAATAGAGCATATATATTTCACATGTGCATTTCCTGTGACAAGACTTTTTTTTTTTTTTTTTTTTTTTTTTTTTTTTTTTTTTTTTTTTACAATTTTACAATGTACATTGCAGGGCTCTAATTGGCGACTAATTTAATCGCCATGGCGCCTAAAAATTATGAGTGGCGCCTAAAATTTTGTCGATAAGTTGCCAAATTGGCGGCCATTTTAAATTGAGTTGGTGATCGCCAAATTACTGGACTATAAATATTTTCATTTTTTTTATAAAGAGCAGAAAAGAAGTTTAAAAATTAGCAATGGACATGTCTCTATATACTAAAATCAGTTTTTATTTTGGTGCCCTCCCCCCCCCCAAAAAAAAATTACCTGGCGACTAAAAATTTGCATTGGCGACTAAATTTGTTTGATTAGGAGCCAGTTGGCGCCTAAATTTTAGAGGTCACATAGAGTCCTGCATTGGTAATGACTATTGAATGAAAGAAGTATTTTAATTGTATCATAACTTTCAGAAAGTAATATTTTTTCACCTCATGACCTTGATCTATAAGTTTGTCCTACTTTTCAAACGTTTAACATTTGCCATAACTTTTGTTCCAAAGAGACAAGGCTGTAATATTTTTTTCACATGTGCATTACTTGTTTGAGGAAAACTTGTCAGAAAAAACAGTTTTTAGAAACTTTACATCTGGCTCTAACTTTTATAAATTCAAAATTAAAACCTTTTTAACTTTTTGGGTAGGAGGGATACACAAGACAGGAAAGACAGATAAAAGTTACAGTATGCCAAAAAATAATTGCATCCCAATCAATAAAACCCTGAAAACGGGGAACCGCTATTCTCTGAGTTTGGTTGTTAATTTTGCATGGTATGCATGTAATTTACTAACCTTTTACCAACCTTCAAATTGAATTTTTAAGTGCATAGGCAGTAAAATATTGGGCACATGAAACAAAGGTGCAACATTAGAAAAAAAATATGATTATAACACCAATACTAGAGGTTTTGATGTGTACACTTTTAGTCAAGTCTGATTTAAGTCCCATTTTTGCAATCTTGATATTTGCATACTAACAGTTCACTCTTGGTAGAAAATATAGTGCAATCTTCTGAATGATAAAAACAAGAAACTTATCTCTAATTGCAAATAAAGATCAATCCATCTGAACTGAGTAAATACAACTATTCGCATTTGCCCCTCAACAGATACCCGATATTAATGATATTAATATGAACCAATAATTAATTAAAGAAACGAGGGAAATAACCGCAAAAGTTTGGTCAATGCTACAGATTAGTAAGGTTTATTATCATATTTGTTTATCTAAGATTTGTTTGAGAAAGTAAATTAGCTTTGAAAGTCTTTGATCGAAAATAACGCTAAGAAAAATTAACTGCAAATGAAGTATACAATTTTCAGATTAAATTTTATATCTTTATTTGAAACTGCTAACAAGTGGTAGGAGAAGCTTATAAATCCCTGTCTTATATGTGTTCCGTGTTTGTTGGGTGAATAGTATTTTCGGACATCAAATTATCGTTCACCTCCATTTCTGGTTCATTGGTGTCTCTGCTCGATGATTTTCGATGACGTAAGCTTCTTCTGATGATTGCCACTGTTTCACTTCCATAACTATGGATACTTGACAAACTGCGTATTAATGTCGACTTTAACCTCTTTGTACGTTTTACAAAACATATGATGTTTTCTCGTCTTAATAAAATGTAAACCCATGGATCCAAAATTTGATTAAAAGACGCTAGTCTTATTGCAAGAAGGTCACAAGAGTTACATTTTGACGTCCATCTTGACTGATTTAAAACAACCCGCACCTGCAAATGTACATAAAATAATACATTATTTAACTGCATAATAAAGTAAGAAAGAGTGTTTGTAACTCCAAACTTTCCTATTTATTTTTCAATCCTTTAGAAAGTTCAAATAAAGTATATAACAGTCATATTGAAATGTACTTATTAAACACGGAGAATTATAAAGTAACACAATTTTTGCATATCAAAGAAAGTAACATCTATATGTAGCTAGTCAATTTCGTGTCAGTGTCAAATTGGTGTTTCAATTTCCGTTATTTTTGCTTTCATCAGCGCATATGATGTAGAACTCATTAGAGCATCAAAACTGTCATTTAAAATCACAGAGGGACGACGATTGATTAATTTATAAATCTTTGAACGTCTATATTGTATGTTTACGAGGAAAAGAGATAAAATTAGTCTAAAACAAACAGGAGTATACATCATTATCTTATAGATGATTAAAATGTTTAAGCAAGTACAAAACTACTGCGTAGAAATTATCGCATGACATTAAAAAGGGGGAAAACAGTAAATGATCTAAGATGTAACAAAATCAGAAGTTTGTTTTGAAACGAACCAAAAACTTTATAAAAATTTGATAGATGATTATTTTACACTCCCCCATGAAAAACCCTTAGACGTTTATTAGCTCTTCTATCGAAAGACAGATGATGGAATGTCAGACATGAATTTGAGCGACAGTTAAAATTCTTTCATTTGAAAGTAAAGTCAGGTGGCAGAACATTTTTTTTGGCAATCAAAACGTTTGACTGACGGTTTCCTTAATATTGAGCTGCTTTTAAAATGTGCGTTGGGAAATTTTAAATTCTCTCTACATGTAATAATTGTATGGTCTTGTCCCTTGAGGAATTTGAAGCTTTTAGGAATAAAACATGTACAACTTACACAATGAGCCCTAGTGATGGCACAGGGACAATCTCAAAATTTCATGTAAATTAAGCCTGTTTTCACTATTTCGCCGGATCCGCAACTGCTTCCAGGCCCGTGCTAATGCCCTAAGCTACCACACAAATTGCAGACCGACACTTGTACATACCATTGAACAGCAAGAGATAATGGCTCAACCACATCGTTTTCAAGCTACAATTCATCCTATGAACCCAACCAGCTTTTCTGGTGAAATACCGGAAAAGTGATTTTTTATCTTAGTTTCGTATTTTTAGTCCATATTCCATAAACAGTAGTAGTGACACTAAAGTGTCATATATCAATAAAATATACAAGGCCACCAATTCCCTCCAAATGCACACATAAAATATTCTGGCAATAAAATTACCTATAATATACATTCAAACCTTAGGTTCCTCTATTTTTTCTAATTTTTGACGGTACTTAATCCGAAACTATCCTCTGCCACCTCAGGATATGTAATCTGTTTTCAATTTTTCACGCACACTCTACAACTTAATATGATTTACTCCAAACAGGACAGAAATGTAATTATGAAGCAAGTTTTGAATGGAAACAGTGTTAACTATTAAAGGAATATTTTGTTGTTTATACAAAGTGGAACAATGCAATGATGATGGAAGCAATTTTATTAGACGTTATTTCACTGAAAATGTTAGCATTTTCAACGTGTCCTGTAGTTAAACAGTATGATTTATGTCTCCTTTCTAATTTTAGGAAAAGAAAAGTAAGAGAAGTATTAATAGCGCATTCAAACTGTCTTTAAGAAATTAGGTACTAGTATTATTCGACAATCTTTCACTAATGAATAGTAAAATACAAGTGCATTATCTACTAATGAACCTGTACCCATCTGATTACTTTTCATTGAATGTCATCCGTGAACGAAAAAGGCAAAGAAGAATGAACAAAATAACTGTTCAAAATGAATCAATATTTTTTTCTTTAGAAAGAAATCTAAAACCTTGTCACTTACGATTTTTAATACTTTATTTTAAAAGTATCAGACAGTTCTTTGATAATCGCTGAATCCTGGTTATTTTTTATTCCCATGTATGATGCTTACATTTTCATTCTGTTCTTTTTTTCTGATAGCGTCATATGTCTTTAATGAAAACTAATCGGTAGAGGTGAAACTTGAAGTCATTATTTGAAGCGTCTTTAAAAGTTAATTCTTTGAAAAGATAATTCTAACAGAGACAAATTAAGATTTAATAAATTACTTATGTAATCAGTAAGTAGAGAAAAGAAGCGAGTTCATGAAATGAAATGAAATGTAAAGATAACTGAAGTAATCATGCTAAAATGATTTTATTATCAATAAAACATAGAGCAGAGCGAACATGGACTCCTGAAAACATATGGGATGGGATCCGTTGTCGACCGGTCACATCTGCCGTGAGCATTTTGACTTGATCGGGTAAATGATGTTATCTATGGACAATTCAGTATGAAAATAATGGCCTTTCAAAAAACGTCAGTAAACATTTCGACATAACGACATATTGTACGAGGGTTGTCCCAAAATTCCGTAGACAAGCGTAGTTTTGTAGGAACCCGGTGTCATAAATCAATGAAAGTTTGTACATATATAAAACTGATAATATCTAATACATTTATGGTCAAAAATTGAGAAATTACACATTTGAACCCTATTTAAATACAATTTTCCAGTGTCTTATGTAAGAAGGCGGCGCAATACCCAAAAACTGCAATTAAAAATTGGTATGTGATATTTAAAATTTTAAGAAAAAGTATTTAATACTCAGAATTTCGAAAATTAATATTATTCAAATTGCAATGTAAACTACCTTTCCTCCAATTTTATTGTATATGCCTTGATAAATATGAATTTTATAACGTTTTATATGCACCAATTTGAAATCTGACCAGCTGAAAATGGCGCCTGTGTCGACACAGGCGGCGCACTGGACTGTGATCAAATGTTCTGAACTCTAGTTCACTCCTACAGAAGCGCAGAAATCATAAATGTTTGGTACGCATGGAAATGTCTTTCGGTCCTTAGTGTATCAAAATTGTCCAAGTTTGTGAAAAAGCGAAACTGAATAAGAGACCGCCCAAAGAAAAGGGCACGGAATCGTGGTCAAAGTGACGTTTTGCAACTCCATTTGAGAAGACACTGAAATCAAAACCCTTAGAGACATGAGGTTTTTAAAATCGTTATTATTGGATACATACATGTATATACATATGCATGTGCATACTTTGTTTGTATTTTCTAATGTCAAATCGTATCACAGCAATTAAGATATTTTTAATTTATTTCTATAATGTTTATGATAAATTAAAACAAAAAGATTCCTTTTATTAGTGAAACCACTTCAATCAAAATTGGTGACGTTAAGTGCATCTTTTTGACGTCGGAGATTGCTCCGGGTGTTAAGGAACGGTAATACTGAAATTGTAATTACCCGAATTGGTTTTAAGCAATCATGTTAAAACTTAGTAATTTACCAACCAATAACACACTTCATCCACCCAGAAAATTTTAAAGAGATACGTTTAATTTTTTTAAAGATATGAGCTCTGTCTTCGGAATTTTGGGACAACCCTCGTATTTGTTTCGTGCAAACCAGGTAACTGTATCGTCCTTCAACCGTAGAAATTTCGAAATGTTGACTTTAAACGAGATTATTGATAATCTTGTATCAACAACTTATTTATGAATAGCCTGCCTCGGTTTAGAAATTGTTGGTACGTAGAAAATGATTTGCGTATCGAAACAACTGGGAGATATACGCAGGTAATATTTTTTTTCTAGAAAAATCAGGGAATTTGACGATCGAAAAAAGTCATCACATTTATCTTAAAGTTTAGTTTTTTTTTTTTTTTTTTCTTTGTTTGTTTGTTTGTTTTTGTTTTTGCAATCGATGTCTTTCTCTAGTAAAATATCCAAATATGAAATTGATGTGTCAGACTTTGTGGTGTCTCTAATGTGGAGGTCAGTGAAATATATCGAATCAAAGTATGAATGAAAATTAATTTTGTTAATTGATAAAATAATATCGTATACATGTATTTTATATCATCAGTATATCTGAATGTTGAATTGAAGGCCAAAGCTAAACACATCGTGTTTTCATGTTGATTTTTTTTAACATAAAAATCTTCACAAGGAAACAAAAACATATCTGCTAATAGAGGGACACAATTAATACTCAAGGAAATTCAGATTGTTTGGGAGTACAGTAGATAAAAAGTGAACCAAGCTAAGGTTTAGTTGTGCAGAAAAAAAGATGGAGTAGGAAAATATGAAGAGAACAAATATCTGTAAGTAAGGTGCAGGCAAAAGACAAGAACAATCTGTTTAAGCCAGAAAGGATTTATGTAGAAAATCACTGCTTAAAAAATATAACACTTCCTGCTTCTCTACTATTAACAAAAACCCAGATCAAAGAAGGCTAATACAGGTTGGTAATGCATTGACTTTTTTTTCATTCATGAAACTAATTGTGAAAAAATTTTATTGTAGGGCTTAACAAATACTTTTAGTATAGAATTTTTATACCATGAATGCAAAAGCAAAGTGACATGAAGAGTACCTTATTTTGACAGGATACACTTTATTTAAGTCTCTCTTTAAACCACTAACTCAATATATAACTCCTTCTTTACAACTATTTGATGACAACTACCTACGCAGTTTCGTGAAACAGATGCTTGATCGATATTTCTGGACGCACTTTTAATGACGGCGAATCAGGTCACCAGAAACAAAGTAATTTCTCCTAGAAAATATATTGATTGTTAAATATAAATAAACTATAAGGTTATAGTTGGTTTATTTTATGCGGTGGCTAAATTTCTTTCTTTCTGCGTGTATTTTGTACCAATTGTATATTTTTTACAGTATTTAGAAAAAAAATATATGTTTTGATGATGAAAGAAAAAAATTGACTTAATATCTTGCTATGATCTAGGTGGATAAGGTCAATTCTGCAAACTTTTTCTAAATATTAAATAAGAACAGTGGCATAAAAGTAACGTAATTTCAAAAATATTCAGAAACTGAGATTTAAATACAGAATAATAAAGGTTCTTCCATTTGTATCAAATGGGATTCAACATTTTTTAAATAGTCAGAATTATTCGTATGTTTGATTTCTGCAAAAGTCAGAAGATAGTTGTTACATAAGATGTATTTGAAATTAAAGAGGTAGGGTCAGAAGTTTATAAGTCTGTGTTTATTTATGTACTAGAACTCAAATATTTCTGTGATCACAACAACAAAATCTACAATTATTTAATTTATGAAACTTGCGCCTACACTACTTCATTTATTTCTTCTTCCCGTCTGTAACATAAAACGATAGCAGTCTGCTAACTGTTTGACAAGCTAGAGATAACATACATCGAGACGTAACTCCACAGGATGTCATTTTCATTTTCTCTTTGCTCTTGTTGCTGTTTAAATATATCAGAAGTGTCGTATTTGTTTTCAACCACTGAAATCAGGGTCAATAAACCCAAAGGATTGTTACATATAGAACATGCCCCATAAATCCGCAGGTGTTTATTAACGGGTAATTAAGATAATAAACGAGTATCCTGTTCCTCATCAATCCAGCGGAATATCTATAAATGTTTATTGTGTCTTTACATTTGAGGGTATTTAGAGGGATTATAACGTATTTCTATAAAGTCGAAAAACCTTGAACTTTTGAACGAATGGTTCTTCGAGCGTGTTCTCATGGATTTCTGATTTAGTCTGGGGAGGGTGTTCCAATGGATATCTAACTCTGCTTGGGGCAAATGAGTTTTAAGAAGTGCGGAAGTAATAACAGAAATTGTATCGTTGGAGTGATCGCGTACATTGCTTTCTTAATTTTTATGAAATCAATTTCCAACTTATGTTCGGAAATTAGTAAAAGACATTATGAATTCATGGTTTTTGAAGGAACTATATTGTGCATAACATGTAACTGGATGTTTTCACAAATTTGGTTTTCACTTATTTTCGCTTGTGTATTTTATTCATACCTACATCTGATAAACATACAACACACAAGAAAATGTAACAGCCATAAATTCATAAACATGGAAGGTCAGCTCCATGTACTTCTTCATCCAAACGTTGCATAATGACGTAACAATGTATGTTCACAATTTAAAGTCATCTAAATTCTAAACAAAACACAATCCTCATTTTGGAAAACAAAACACAATCCTCATTTTGGAAAAAAATTAAGTTTCCTATCAATATATAAATATTTTGAGAATTTGATACAAAATATTGAAGAAATGATGAGGAAGCCTAGTAGATGTTTAATGATGCACGATGTAAACCTCGTGATATTATCGCGTGTGGAGTGCCTATACTAATTACCTGTCAATGATTTTTGTCAAAGGATAATAATTACTCATTTCTATACATAACTAGGAATGGCTATACCGTACACAGTTGAACTAGATATAATTACTCTTCGCGAGCATGCTTTATTGGGGATTTATATGATGTTTTTACAAAGAAGAATTTAATTTGTATCAAAGTATCCTTTTACACCCTAGCGAAATACTGGAATCTCATGTAACAAGAATCTGGAAGTGGGCATTGAAACAAAACTTTACAAATAGAGCTTTGAGATGAAGAAAATGAATAAGGCTCTGGGATAAGAAAGAAAGAAAAGATGATAGATAGATAGATAGATAGATAGATAGATAGATAGATAGAAAGATAGATTAAACACCAGGCATTTTGACACCATAAAAACCTTTTCTTCAAAGAAGAAGGGACTCGAAAATTTGCATATCTCGTGATTGATAATGTACAAAGTTACTTTGTTAATTATCACTCTGATTCTACACACAAATACTTTGAAGTTGATAATAAAAACATGTCACCACAGAGTCTGCCCATCTGTTCATATCTATGGATGTTTTGCTGAGGTTAGCGGCCAACTAACAATTGAACTTTTTGACGAACTTGACGAGTTCAACTTTTCCATCTTTAGCTTCCTATTTATTCAGTAATATTTCAACATCATCTGCGTGTGGTTCTTTTGTCTCCCAAATGATACGGCACACAAGAGCATGTTTGAGTACACATCTTTTAAACCCAGGCTACTGACAAATGAGTAAATGTTACAAGGCTTTCAAAAATTTCGCTTAAAGACAGCATTTCGCAAACACTAGGATCTATATAATGACCTTATTTTCACGTGCATGTTTCATATCAATTGTTAAGCCATTGTTTTTTTTTTTTTTTTTTTACAAACTTATTTGACTTAAGATTACTCCGTTTACCTGATAAATGAAGGAGGCATACTCCTAGGCACCTGATTCCATCTTTGGAATTTCCAGGGGTCCGTGTTTACAGGATTTATGAGACCGATCACTATTTGATACATGTATCTTCATCTACTTGATCTTATTAGATTGTACAAGTAAAGGTCCTTTTTGACATATGGTCAGAATACAATAAAACAGTTACACTTTATGTTAAGGATTGAATCGATTTGGAATAATTCATATTTTCTTTCTTTCTTTTTTATTATTTATTTATTTATTTATTTTTATTTATTTATTTATTTATTTATTTATTTATTTATTTATTTATTTATTTATTTATTTATTTATTTATTTATTTATTTATTTATTTATTTATTTATTTATTTATCTATTGCTATTTTGATCATACCAGGATTATTTTTTATGATTTGTTTAGAATCATCGTTAAGAAAACTTGCTCATATAATTTTTTAACAAGAGCATTTGAAAAAAAAAAACACAACAAAAAAATTCAACTTACTCTATACCATTTAGAGAGATAAAAAATATTATGACTCAGTAGTCGTCAAACACTGCTTATGCCCTTGGTGAATGTTAAGCAATTCACGTTCTTTTGCAAAGTTATGGACCAAAAACAAAAAAAAAAAACAAAATCTGTCTTGCACGACATACACAGATATCATATGTTTCAAATGGACAATATTAATATTTCACGAAGATGGATCTTTACAATTGAATATGTTTCCAAACAAATCAACACAAGCTGTTCATGGATAACAAATGCTGTATGTTTAATAATTACTTCAAAGACAAATGTCACTATGATAGACATGAAATCTTCAGATACAAATATCGTCAAATATTAAATATTTTAAAAAAGCTATCCCTCATTATTTTCTTACCTTACCAAAAATTAATGTTGTACTTATATATGTTGCTTTATAAAACAGCGTAAACTGACCCAAACCAGGTTATACTCGAATAATTTGGCTAAGAATTAGAGTCATTCCTTATAATTTAATTTTAAAATCATTAAATAACTAGGGTGTAAAATTTCGTTGCTTTTTATTAGTTCAAATTTGCCGCTCAATAATACAACCGTAGTAACGGAAGTAACGGAAGTGATGGGAAGCGAGGGGAGGTAAAAACTGATGCATAGGCCTAGCGGCAGCCTTGTTATTTGTTTACATGTGGTAAGATCGAATTATTGTTAAGTTAAAGGTACATTTATTAAATCTGGAATCTTCCATGAATCCCGAGGACTGGAAATGAGAGGATTGTATGGATACAAATGATTCAGCTGGTTGTCAGGGGGTGTGTCCCCATAGCAAACCAGGTTATACAGAAATAATTTGTGTTCCTTTTTGGATATTAACCAATCAGAGGCTAGAATACAAACAAAATTAAATTATTTTTGGATAATTTTGTGAATTTTACAGACAAAAAGTTTGAGAACATAAACACAATATTGATGCATTACTACCTTTACATCTCATTCTTGTAATGATATGTTAATTGTTTTTACTTTAATGAAAAAGATTTTTGATTATCATTATCAATAATTTCATTACAGTGTCATTGATAAATTAATTAATTTCATAAACAAAAACTTCAATGGTATTAAAATAGTCCAAGAAAATCAAATGATTTCAAAGGTTTGCCTAGAATTCACTTAATGATTCTATGCTTTAAACTGGATTTAGCCATGGGACCTTCTTCTTTGTGTTGTTAATGAGATTGAGATTTTAAAGAAAGCCATGCCTCAAAAGCCAGCAGGAAGCCATTTGAAAGCATGAGAAATAAAATATCGTGGGAGAAACGAATTAATCAACGAAAATTCGTGTAAGCAAAACACTTGAAAAAGCCATAAATGTTGCTTATGAGAGAAATTAAAACATGCAGAACTAATTTTCAGCTCTCCATAACTTCTTAGTTTGTTTGTTTGGTTTTTTTAAACATGATTTTGAAATTCTCACTGACGCTTGAAATCTGTAATCGCTGTGAATTTTTTAAACAATCATAATTGAAACAAGAACTTTGAGGTAAATCTAGTTTTACAGTTAATAAGTCAGTAGTTCATCAAATTAAAAAGAATACCTACCATCAATGGTGAGTAGCAAATTCCAAACACAATCAAAATAGCCATTAGAAAAACCATTAAATAGATATCATTACGTTTTCGCCGTCTTGAACTGACACTGTTAAAGCTAGATTTCCTATCTTGTAATTCTTTTCTATGAATTTCTCTAGCGAGAGTCACAACTAAAATTATATTGAAGACAGCGGTCAAAGAAATCAAGAGAATTCCTGTAGAAGCATACAAATAAGAGTATATGTTTTGTAGTGTTGATTGTCCAAAGAAGTCAAAGAAACACCATGATCCTGGAAAATGATGAACATTTTTGCCAAATCCTAGAATCGGCATCACCGCAATTGCTGCCGACAACAGACAAAGCAACACTGTAACAGTGTTTACTTTTTCTTTTGTGACTTGACGTTTATAGAAATACGGACAGCACACAGCAAGAAATCGTTCCAGTGACATGAACGAAATGAAAAAAATTGTGCTCAGACCTGCAAAAATTAGAATAAAGGAGAAATAGTCACAAGTCGGCTGCCCTCCGATCCATTTGAAATTGTTCAGATAGTTAATAAGAACAAGGGGGGTTGAGGCTAATATCCCAAAAAGGTCTGTTATGGAGAGAACACCAACAAGACGATAGAAATTTTTCCATTTGTGACGTTTTGATGTCTTCACTAATACAAATATAGCAAGTAAGTTTCCAAAAACTCCACAAACAAACATAGAAATTACAGTGGCACTAGAAGGTGTAGATAAAAACATATCGGTCGTGTTGGAGGCATTAACGCTGCTGCTTTTATTATAACAAGTCTGTAAATATTCCATACCACTATATATAAACAGCCTTATTTTTACCGTACCTCGTTTCCAATAAATCCAGTGTAATACAAGGAACACGCAAACCACTAATATCCGACTTTGTCGTCAGAGAAAGTCATTTCTATCAATTCCATGAGCATAATAGAAGGTACCAAGAAAAATTGCATAACTTGATATTTACGACTGAATGTTGTATGCATTCAATATCATATATATATCCATTCTAAGAGTCACACTAGCTGATCAGAAATGTTATGGGACTTCATTCTCATCTCGCATTGTTGATCGCTCGCTGGTAGCACGCAGTGAAAAACATATCAGAGCCGATAATTTTTCTGATGTAGCTTGGTGACTTTAATGTCACAATCATACGTTATACGACATCTAATCAATTTTAAAAGCCAATTTTACCCATGGTGTTTGTAAAGAGAAATATCAGATTTTCATATAATTTCAAATGGAAAATCAGAAAATCCAGGAAATGGGAATTGTCTCATTTGTTAATGAAAATGCACTCTATTCAATATCCATATTGTTTTTGTGCAATTTTTCAATCAACACTCCCTAGGTGTTGGATTTCAGGTCGGTATTGGTGTTGTAAATTAGCAGCAAAAACAACCGGTCTTGGAAATTGACAGGTAACCGATGTGATGATCGTTTCAAACCCACAGGTATAACAAAAAGGTGATTTCTTGTTAATAAGGCCATTCCAAGTTTTTTCTCTGTTTAGCGTCCACCCATCTTTCAAAAACCTACCTATCTATTCGCAAAAAACACACAAACCAAAAAATAAAACACAGACTTTATAGTAATAAAAATGATGTCACTCAAAGGATTTGATTTCATTAATCTATTTTTCTCGTAGAAAAAAACCTATTCTTCAGCAAAATCAAGGTATTCAATGCTTACAATATTCCTAATATGACATATTGTAGACAAATATTTTGAAAAATTGACAGAATTCAGTGATTTTGACTAGAATATTCAATTTGAGGACTCATGATTTTGTTTGTTTTTTGTGATATGGGGTGTCAAAAACCAATGCGCACGCGGACGCTAAACATAGAAAAAACTTGGAATGGCCTAATGATGGCATCTCTCATAGACTTTTTATAACCATCAGTAAAAGAAAAACTTATCTAACTCTTATTCCTTTAATGTTCACTTTAATGAGGAACAACATATTTATCAATATTAAATTCTTTTTATTATCATTATTTCTTTTTTTATTGCCAATATGTTGTATTTGACTATCCTGAAAAGTACGACTCAATCTTTTTATTACGATATTAAATCCCCTAGGATACAAAGTCTTGATACTTATATGCTTTTCTACAAGACGATAAAAATCCTGCAAAAAATTTACATTACAAAAGCAAAACAAGTATTCTTTTTTAAGAAAATGATTGGGGAGCCTAAATGTATTTAATAAAGTTGTATATAATCTTTCTCTATCATTTTATACGTACCATAACAGTCTAACACGTCATGAATGAACGTACAAATATATGCTTATATTTATAGGTACCTAAATAAACATAACATCCTTATCAATGACAAGACTTAACATTCAGTAGAATAATGGAAGGGGTCATTTATTAAGTAAAATAAATGGCAGAATAATCAAAGAAATCATATACATGTAAACACAATAAAAATAGAGATAACGAACAGTATTTCAGCTCAAAGTCCATTAAAACAATACAAATCGGGAGCAGAGCAAACACGGACCTCCAAAAACATCAGAGGTGGGATCAGGTGCCATGGAGGAGTAAGCATCCCCTGCCGACTGTTCACACCCGCCGTGTGCTCCTTGTTATGATCGGAAAAAACGGAAAAAATCCTTAGACAATTCAGTGTTTAAATAATAGCCCGACAATTAGTATGAAAAATGTCAGTCAGCATTCTGCTTAATGATAGGTTGTATTTCGCAGCTCTGTTAAGGCTGCATAAAGGGGGCGGGGTCTAATTTATACGGGAAAAGTTTACTGTGACATCACACAAATATAGCAATTCCTAACAATAACAGAAAATGAAATAATTTGTGAATCTAAACTGCATAAGAGTAATGAACTACATCAAAACTTACCACTGCATTCATTTTTGTCGCTAGTTAAATCCCACACAGCAAGATATAAACAAGTCACTGATCGCAATGCACTTGTCGACATGACGTCATCATGGTAAAGTTTGACGCATTTTATGTGCAGTGAGAGGCGGATCAAGTAATTTTTCCACAGTGATAAATGCATTTTGTTATTAAACGGAATATTATTTGAAAATCTTAGGTAGACCATTAATACAAATCTGAAACGTTTGTTTAGTGCCATTATTTAAAAAATATCGAGAGAATGTATTGAATTAATTCATCCGTGTTTTTGTCTACAGGGTGTGCATGTTTCACGCCGAGGTTCCTCATTAAATCGCCTTTTCGCAAGGGCATACACTTAATAGATCTTGACCATTTTTTGAATACACATAATGGACATATTCCTTAACTTGAAAAGTGCTGCTGCTTTCCTGAAATCGATAACATAACTTAATAACTACATAAAATATTTGGTAAAGGTCACACATATTTCAACATTAGCAAGATAACATGAAATTTAAACTAATAAAATGCGAATTCTATTTAAAGCAGCAGCACTTTCCATAAACTACATGTTATGTAGAAACAATCTATTACTTTAAATTTTAATTTTAACTAGGGTTTGCCCTTGCGATATTGAAATTTGTTTGTGACCTACATACAGTACACATTACATGCATTTATCACGTGACTATCAAATAACGTGACCAAACCAAATTCGGTCAGAGCGAGGTATACGATGTTATTTCAAAGAATGTTAAAGTCATAAGATAATATAGTACCTTTACAAAATTAAAATTCATTTTAAAAAGGTATGTATTTATGCACGTTTATATTCTGTTGATTTCTTCGAAGTACGCCTTAACAGTGCTGCGTTGCTGACAAGGTCATTGTATTGACCAACGAGACTGTTGATATCCCTGTTTCATCAACTTGTTTGTCAAGAGCTTGCCTTGTTTTAGAAATTGTTCATACATAGAGCATGCTCTTACGAATCCCTATATGCAGGTGATAAGGGTATATTGCTACATAAGTAAGGGGAGTTGACGATTGAAAAATTGAAGTCATCGCGTTTATCATATCAAGCTTGGTTGTTAGGTTTCCATTGTCTTTTTCTAGTAAAATATCCAAATATGAAACAGATATGTCAGACTCTGATATCTTTTATTTCAAGCTCACTGGGACATATAGAGTCGACATATGAATGGAAGTAACTATTGTTAACTGATAATACGTCGTTGATATATCTAAATGTCGAGTTGAAGGTCACAGCAATAAGCTTAAGACAAATCAAAACATACTAAACACGGTTCTCAAACAATTTTGCAACCTTTAGAAAAATGTGATGTACATAATAAAAGTATTTCTCTAAGGTAGACTCAATATTCTTACATAAAATACAGAAAAGGCTACATGTTCGACCCACTATGATTGAATATATATTAGTATTTACCTTATTAAACTTAAAACATATTTAAAAAAAAAAAACAAACAAACAAACTTGATTTTACAATAAGTAACAAAATATCATAAAACAAACGTGTTTCAGCATTTCTATATGACACTGAACAGGTTAATCACTTAAGTACATTTTTAAAATATCAAGTTCCCTCCTTGCTGAATTTCTGTTCAAAACAATCATATGAAATTGGACTGAATTGTCGACGGATTTTTCCCGTTATTTCCCGATCATGACAAGGAGTGACATGGCGGGTGTGACCGGTCGGCAGGGGATGCTCACTCCTCCAAGGAACCTGATCCCACCTCTGATATTTTTGGAGGTCCCTGTTTGCTCTGCTACCGATTTATATTGTTTTAATGGACTTTGAGATGGAATGATGTTTCTTATATCCATATTTCATTTGCTTAAGTTCTGTTTGTTTTCATTTGTAGATGTGGAGTTTTTCTTTTATCTTTATGATTTTTATTACTGGCCTTGACAAGGAGTCAAAAATCAGTAATCACAAAGTTTGCAATATTTTTAAGACTAAAAATGCGATTTTTTTGTGCAAATTTTCAATAAATCTAATGAAATTATGTTCGTATAGATCCTTTGAACCAGAGTAAGTGGAAATTTATATGATTTTGAAATAATGTTAGGAAATGTTTGCAAAATTTGTTTAGATTTAATTAATATACTTCTGTAAAAATGTTACTATTATAAAGCTAAAAAGAAAAATAACAATTCTTTATAGTCTGAACTTTTCACATATAGTAAAGCTGTACCCCAGGGGCACAAATTGTGCTATCCATCCCTCAGAGTATTTTCAAATTTTGACGCCATTTAAGATTTCCTGTAATATGATTGGTTCGATATCTAACCAACACTGAAGAGTTCCGAAAACCTATACCCCGGGATTTAAAATGTGTTATCTAACAGGAAATATATACGCCCGCATATTAAAACACTTGTCCGCTGGCTGTGAGTGGAATAGCTCTTTCATTAAACACTTGATTGGAACTATTTCCCTTAGGCAAGCCCTCGGGGAAAAGTTTCTGTTGCGTGTCAGATAAAGAGTCACATAAAAGAGCAAGCTATCCCACTTACAGCCAGTGGATAAGAGTTTGATAGAAAATGACGAATGTTGCATTTTTGAACACCAAAGCAAATTTACGGTTCTTTATATTTAAGGAATTCATTATTTATGTCATTTCTATTCAAAATCAGTCAAAAAAAATACATATTACTTTGTGCATCAAGTTTTTTTTTTCTGTATTATTTGTTCTTCAAAACAAATTCCATTTCTCTTGTCTTAGTGTAGATTACAGCTCGAGTGTTTAATATTGAAATATTTACCAGTCTTCTTTTTATCCAAGGATTTACGTACTCGAGGTTAAAGGTGATCTACGTTTTGAAAAGACTTTTATTTATTTCGGAAACAGAAGCAGAGTATGAATCACAAAGATAGACATATCAAGATCGAATACTAAGACAATCGTTAGGTAAAGAGTTGTGCATATTGATTCAGAATACTTTTTGCGTACTTTCACTTTGATATATGAGAATTAAGGCATCATCCAATTTTGAATTGATATTTTATTTATAAAAGCGTATGTTAACTTTAAATGATGGTTGATTAAGGTACTTTGAAGTATAGAATTAAAAAAAGGGAAAAAGAAATAAAACAAAATTTCAATCTCATGCAAGGACTTTGCGTCATACATGTATA